AATTTTCATATAATTCGTTTTCTTATAATCGTATTTTCATAGAATTTTTAAACTTTTTAAAATCTTCAATTTCTCAGCTCTTTTTACACTTATAAAGTCCGTCGCGTGTAGAAACTGCCATCTGCTTTCAAATTTGATAGATGAATCACACGGAATTCGAGAAAATCGCTACTTACCTGAACCGAGCCGTAAAATCAGAAATAAAAACACAAATTCATCAATAACTTCACTGAAAATTGGTCTTTTCTGTTTATATTTTCTTGTTATATAGTGTTATTAATTGCCCCCGTATTTAACAACGGTTTTAGTAGTAAATTTTCACCGTTAAATAACCAATTTCCATATAATTCCTTTTCTTATAATCGTATTTTCATAAAATTTATTAACTTTTTAAAATCTTCGATTGCCTTGCTCCTTTTAAGCTTATATGGTCCTTATCGTGTAGAAACTGCCATCTATTTTCAAATTTGATAGATAAAACACACGGACTTTGAAAAGTCGCTATTTACCTAAACCAAGCCGTAAATTCAGAAATAAAAACAAAAATTCATCCATAACTTGACTGAAAATTGGTTTTTTCTGTTTAAATTTTCTTGTTATATAGTGTAATTAATTGCCCCCCGTATTTTACAACAGTTTTCGTAGTAAATTTTCACCGTTAAATAACTAATTTTCATATTCGTTTTCTTATAATCGTTTTTTTTTGCGCCCGAAGCAATAAAGGCAACCCTCCGGAAAGCGGGGGAGGGAGGCGGTAAATGCTCATAGCATACCACGCAGTCGGCTGTGTGGTTATGTGAAGACTTTTACCCACTAAACACCGCCTTTAGGTATTGGCTTGCCGATCCGACGAGAGACTTAGAAGTTTGCCTAACTAAGGCAGATTAAGGGACGTGTTCGTTAAGCTCGGCCTGAGCCGCCCGGAGACAGTTCAGGTCAGCCGAAAGCTTGTTGCGGGTGTCCGAGAGAGATTTTCTCGGTCTGCGCACACTATAACAAGTGTGAAGAGGGGCTGTTTAAGCTACTGTCTCACGAATGAGGCGATTTGAATGGGACTCTAAGGCTTTGAAAAATCTCTCATAGCGTGATTTGAGGAACTGCTGAATTGTTGGGAGCTCTAAGTCGGTGGAGGTCGTCGTTACGGACATAATAGGGTGAGTTCGTGGCCCTACGACAGTAGAGATTTTGAACTATTTGAAGTTCATTTATAAGGTTGAGTTTAGCATGTGCGAAAATGGGGGCCGCGTAGGTCATAACGGGTTGTATACAAACCTTATATGTGGTTCACTTGTTGCGGAGAGACATTTTACTGTGTCTTCCCAACATGCTGTTGAACCTACCCATGTAAAATCGTGCGGTGCGAGTTACTTTCTTCATATGGGGCTCGAAAGTCAGCCTTGCATCAAGGGTGACGCCTAAATATTTGGCTTATGTTTGCCATGGGACAGGGGTTCCCAACATCCTGATTGGCGGAATGGTAGTGAGACGGCATCGTTTATGTTCGAAGCAAACGGCAGAGCTCTTCTCCGGGTTTACGTCGATACGCCATTTTTGGAACCAAGTTCCTAAGTCATTAACTGACTTTTGGATCTTGTTCCGAATCTGTAGCAGTGAGTTGCCTTTAGAGTAGAGGGCTGTGTCATCTGCGAAGAGGGCTACTTTGACAGCATTCGACGGGATAGGAATTTCGTTGGTGAATAGTATATATAGGAGGGAGGCAAGCACAGAGCCTTGTGGGACACCGGCTTTGATTTGACGAGGAGAGGATAGCGTGCCTTCGTGTCCAAAACGAAAGGTACGATCCTTCAAATAGGAAGCTATGAGGCGAACGAAACGGTCAGGTTTCGGGATTATGGATTAGAGTACGAGAGGGACGGAGCGTTGACTTCATTAGACGAGACCTCTCCAACTTAACGTTTAGGTTCAGTGTGTCTCTAACGATTCGGTGATCGCTGCCAGTTTTTACCATTGCGATCACAGAAACATCACTGAAGAGTCGCCGTCTAGTCGTCATAATGAAGTCCCTCTTTTTCCATGAAGTCGGCCAGCTGCTGGCCCCTTGAGTTCTGTTGCGCTATCCCAAATTGCCCTACCTTCAGCTCACCGTTCTTTCTTGTGCCTAGTTTTGCGTTGAAGTCTCCCATTAACACCGTATAGTGAGTTTTGGAGGAATGCAATGCTCTAGAAATATCCTTATACATTTCCTCCACCTCCTCATCGGAATACCGTTCCAACGTTAGTGCGTAAACCTGCATGAACTTCAGCAAATACAGTTTGGTGATTCTGAGTAAAACGTACGCAACCCTCGCAAACGACGCAACGACGGCGACGGCGTTGACTAAACGTACGCAACACTCCCAATCTTTACAACTTTGTTAACGAGAGACTTATGGACGATGAATCCAACACCTCCTTGGGACAGATGGTCGCCCTCCCGGTGATAGAACAAGTTGCCGGATTCTAGAATCATCCTGTCCTACCCCTCACTTCGGACTTCGGATAATCCTATTCCAGCGCAACTTGTCTATCACTTTTTCCAGCTCCAGGATCTTCTCGACAGTCCTCAGGGTGCGTGCGTTATATGTTGCCAAGTTAAGTAGTCATAGGTGGTAACCGAACCTCCACCGGAGATTCTTAGCATCTCCTGCCCCGTTACCATGGTGTATCTAGAAAATTGGGCCGAAATTGCAAAATATTTTAGTTTATCCTTGATTTATACACTAAACATTAATTGTATTCTTATCTATATTATATTATTGAAGCTTCTATGTCTGCTAGAAGTGCCTTAGAGTTTTAATGATCGGTCAGTCAGTCAGTGAGTGAGTGACAAAATTAAAACATTTTGACTAGTTAATTCTCGACTAGCAGCAACAACTCCGGTCTGCCAAACGTAAGAACTATAGCGGTCCCCAGTATGTGGTAAACTATGTGGGAGGCCTATGCTCATTTGTGAACTTTTATAGGCTCAAATGGTAGTAATGATATTCGTTTTTGTGCCGGCTGTCACTTTTCTGTAAATGTTGTACGGGCAACATATTATCTTGTGTCTTGTCCCATGAATTTCACTCTGAATGAAGAATTTCAGTTATGAATTGTATGAAAACTTGGAGTAAAAATAGAAATGATATGATTGTAAGAAGAATGTGGCAGCAGCGCCCTATATTATCTATAGCAGCGCTTGCGCTTGCTGTGGTCTCATCCATGGAAGTTAGAGAGAAGGAGAACGATCACTACGTGCTAATAGCCCACCTGTCGCTGAGCTGCTGTCGGTAAGTAGTACCTGCAAAGTTAGCTGTTTATGAGTACAAGTAGATGAAGTTTCTTAAATAATGTACAAATTTCCTTCGCGGCATTGGTGAGAAAATACACGATTAATTTTTCCGTAATTTTTTAATTTTTGACAAAAAAAATAAACATTAAAAAGTGATGAAATATTTTATTGTGCAAGTGTTTTAGCATCTGATCTTAGCGATCGCAGCGCTTCACCTAATTTGTCCATATTTCTGGGACTCTATTTCCTACAGCTATCGTTCACCTTCACTCTAACGTCCATGGTCTCATCTTAGTACTCTTATTAGTTTGTGGTCTCATCTGATCTGTCCATAGTTGGAGGATTAAATCGAGGATTCAAAGATCGATTTTCGATTAATTGCGACATTTTCAAACATGAAATTTTTCGCACATCTCCACTCGATTCTTTTTTTTACAAAGTGTTTCCATGTATTTATATAATAAAAATGATATTCATATCAGTTTTATTATAGTTATATTATATATCAATTTTATTTGACAATTGACATTTTAGGCTAAAAACAACAACAATACTTTAACAAAAGTGCAAACTGCAACGTACATTTCTCAATAAATCTATTTCAATCTAATAACTCACTATTTATCAAATTAAAATGAATGCTACACGAAAATAATACTGGTTATTTCGTCACTATGTACCTACCCCTATAAACTTCAACATTTAATATTTATTTACAGTATCTAGGTATTTAAAAAGTACTCTGTCTGTGATCATGGCTCACAGTATTAATATTTTTGATAATAATTAAAGTAATAAATTCACAGGTTCACAGCTATAATATATTAATATATATTGTGGTCTTTGTTCACAGCACAGATTAAATTAGACCCACATTCACAAAGTACTTTTTGTATACCTGAGACACATTCCACAGGTAAGATTAGAATTAGAATTTTGAAAAACTTTTCGATATATTTGGATGCGATCATAAATATTTATTTTATTAAAATATACATTGCGTTTTAATTATCAATCGAGTACGACTGGTTCTTTTTGCGTCCGCCAACAGCAAAATGTTAAAAAACTGCGGTATCTAACTTCTTAACTACGGAGTGTAGAAGTAAGGAGTACGGACTGTGTATTAAAAAGTGTCCATAAAAACCTTTAAATAAGGGTGGCGCCACTATAGCTACGGGGTAAATTTTGTAGAACGCACCGAAAAATATTAGGGGGGTAGACGACTTTTTCAAGGTTATATTCACTAAATAAAATTATTTTAGATTTTAGAGCTACTGATCAGTTTAGCAGCACACTTAAACCGGCGACAACTGCTAAGTTCATTAAGTTCATTTCATCCCAGTAGCTACTCCAGCGCTGTTGTGGAGAGTTTTTGAGCTGTTATTTACTGCTTACAGATGACCACTTTTTCAACTATTCTACTATGGGAGTTGGTACTCCTTACTTCTACACTCCATATTCTTACCCCAACCAGTTTAGGAACTTTATCGCTAGTTTTTTAATCAGATGAATCAGTCCGATTCGAGAGGTTTTTGGATCGATTCATTGAATCGATGCGGTGCTTTGAATCGATCTAAAAGATTGATTATTTTACTCCTGATAATCGATTTTAGATCGACATGCCGCTATTCGTTGCAAACAAAAGAAATAAAACACGGTTTATGTGCCATAGGACAATAATTAAGCATGTTTTATATAGCTATATATAGTAGAAATTAGTAAATTTAAAATGTCGGGAACTAACAGCATAACACCTCCATCGGGAGTTGTACGGAATAGCGCCCTGTCTTTTGTTGCGACTGCGCAACCTCCGATGAATTTACCTGATCAGCCAGGGATCGTACAAGATTCGGAATCAAGAGGTAATTTTTTTAAACAAGGCTATGATATAAGCAGCAAATTTTTTATGTCAATGATGTAAGTTTTTTAAATAATATATTTGTTATGTAGGTATATAATAACAAACTGACTAACAGTCATAATTGTACAGCTCTTAGACACTTGCGAGCAATCAAGTAAAGAATGACCGGTTTGCATAGTCTTCCCTTAGGACTTAAATGCCTCACTGCCCGTAATAATAATTCCTTTCTTACCCTTTTCCTAAGCAGGGTTTGAAAGTATTCTGTAACTGTGAGTTGTCTCAATTGTTAGCTGCTGGAGTTACAATGAAATATTTAAAATCTATTTCTAAAAATATTTATAAGCCACTAATACCTAAAATGGAACTTAAATTACAATAAATTCTGAGATTTTTTTTAAGTTGCTCTAAATTCAAAAACACATAAAAACTGGCACCACAATTCACACAGATCATTGGATAGCATATGACTACCTAGCGGAACATGGGTACACCCACGAAAAAGTCTACCATTCGGCCCCTGACAATCCGTTTGTGACTCCAGACAGGATTCACACATAAAGTATTGAGTCACAATGGAGAGCTGTGAAGCATTTAAAAACATCTAGAGAATTTTGGTATAGTATAAATCTAGAGAAGTTTGCGATAGTGGAGTACTTGTGGAGGTGGAATATTATGAAATTAATATTATAATAAAGATCTATTTTTGGAAAAGGTGTTTGGAAAATTAATTAAAAAGTTAACATTTTGGTGTTTATTTGGTGCAAGAGCGAGCAAAGTGGGCTCGAGACTTGGGGTACCCTGAATCGGAGAGTTTAGGTTGAAGGGGATGGCAGGGTCGAGAGAATGAGCAAAGCAAGCGAACAGACCCCGCCATCCAGGGTTTATAATGACTAGTTTATGTTTTTATATAAACCACTCAAACAAAGGAGCTCCTTCGACTACACTTTAGTATTACTTAGGCGGAGGAGCGACCTCTCTCCAGCCTCCCTGTTAAGGTGATTTTTCTTAGAAATCTTTCAATAAATATTTTAAATTTTAACATTTTATGTAAAAAATACTATATACCTCCAGTGGGGAGCGAACCTACCTCTTCTCCACCCCATTTCCAACCGCCCCCCACCCCCATTTTAAGGCGACTTTACTAAACCTTTACCTAAGGCAGTATACAGTTATATAAGGCAGTGTACATTATAATTTAAAAACTAGCCTAAAATCAATATTCCGCAAGTAGACTGTGTCAATTAATCAAAACAATATGAATGTAGGCAATAAAGAATATACAATCAAAAGATCTTTTGAAGTATGTAAAAATAATTGTTCGGAAAGAAATACTACATAATATTACAATATTTTATACATTTTTTATACATGGTAGAGCCATGCTGCAGTTATTTTTTATATATATTACTACTAATATGTAGTATAGTTGTAGCACAAATGGGTCGGCTCTAAAGGCAATACAAATACTTGTTCCATGCAGGTTTTGAACCCGCTGCCCTCAGCATTGCAACTTGTTACAAGCCACTGCACCATGAAACTGTTAAAATACTCTGCAATTTAAATTAAAATTCATTTAACTCTTACAGAGAGATTGGTGCCAGCAGGACTTAAGGCATTGTGCAATGCATATTCACGGTTATACCCCGACCAGCCTAACCCATTGCAAGTTACCACTAGACTTAAGTATTGGTAAGTTTTTTTTGATCTCCGCTACACAGAGTAAATTGTAACTGGTTGTAGCTGCTAGTAATAAGAAGCTAGTTCTTTTCTCGCTGAAAGGTTAATTATAGCCATTCAGTGAGAAAACACAGCCAGCATTCTTGCCACAATACCACGGGTAGTAGGACTGTACAACAATTTAAGTTTTTAGTTTTTTTTCTATATTATAGTTTTTTAATAATGTTTTTTCATAGTTTTTGATCAATAGCAAAGTAACAGACTAGTTAGTGTTAGGGAGGTACCTGACTGAGACGACATCAAACAATTCATATTACAATGTATGACAGCTAATTCAATAGGCGACGGTTTGGCAACGTCGCCAATATGGAAAAGTACGTGACTACTGTTGACGTAGCCGTGACGTAGCCACTACTTTCGTACATGAGCAAGCTGCGTCTCACTCACTCAGTGTGGCCGCCAGCACGGACGCATAATGAGTTTCGGTACAGAAAGATTCATTGTAGAAATTCAAAATCGACCATGTTTATGGGATACCACAAATAAATAAGTGCGATTTCTTCTATGCATGAAGCGTCAATTCTCGATACGAGGACTGAGAGAACTGAACTGACAAATGGTCGCCACTGGCTACTCCATTTGGCAAACGAAGGTAGAAGAAGGAAGGACCGAACCGACGTCGCCATGGTCTTGGTCTCTGTTAAAAACAAACCATGAGATGGATAACAATGTCACGATGAGAAAAAATAACAAATGCGTTTGTCAACCAGCCTGCCAAGTGTGGCAACTATTGGAAATATGGGGGATATTTAGTAGTTAGCCATGGTAGCTCAGATGGTTAGCGCTCGCTGTGATTTTCGAAGTACGCGAGCAAACCGAGTTCGATCCCCACCAGCACCAATGAAATAATTTTAAGTGCTTATTTACCACATGCTCGGCGGTGAAAGAAAACATCGTGAGGAAACCTGCATGTCTGAGAAATAAGAATTAAATACTTCGAAGACATGTGAAGTTCCCCAACAGGCATTTGGGCAGCGCTGAGGACAATTCGTTGCACTAAAACCATCTCAGAAATTAGCGGAGGCCTGTGCCCAGCAGTGGGACGTATATACAGTCTGTAACTTTTTAATAGTTATAAGGTAATCTATGAGGAAGGCCTATGTTTATTTTTATGACAGCTCTTTTTTTTTTGCTTTTTTAAAAAACGTTACCCCTACACTAGGATTTTCTCCTGTATCGCGGGGGCAGTTCACAAAAAATAAATTGCACAAGGACAAACATCCAGACCCGGAACAATTATTTGTCGGCTATACTAATACTTGTTCCGTGCAGGATTCGAACCCGCTACTCCCAGCGCAGCCACTCATTGCTAAGCCACTACGCCACGGAGTCTTCAAAAATCTCTATACTCAATTTTTTCCATTTTCACAAAAACACATCCAAAATATTTCAAATTTAGGTGTGTGAGTTTGGATTTACCCCGGGCTCGGCAGTGGAGGAAAACATCATGAGGAAACCTGCATGTCTGAGAAATAAAAAAAAATATTTTGAAGACATATGAAGTTCGCCAACATGCATTGGGGCAGCATGGCGGATATTTCCTTGCCATGGGATGTATACAGGCTGTAACTGACTAAATTTAACTTCTAATTCTTACGTGTTCCGGTTTGTACCTGTTGGCATACATGCTTTTTTATAGGATAAGCGTGACACAAACATGCAGTCCACCTGATGATAAGTGAATACTGTGGCCCATAGATATCTACCTCTATGCTCAATTAAGAATCAAAGTGCAGATGCATTGTCACTCCTGAGGACTAAGATGGAATGCCTTGTTTCCAGTAAAAAGTGTCTCCGGTTCTCTACACTGACCATTCAAAACACAACACCATTAAACTACAATTTTACGATTTAACTCTGTGAGTAAGTACCATGTACTTCCCAGCTCGAGTCGAGCCATTCGTTCTGTAACCACAATATATATATATATATATATATATATAATGCTAGCATAACTCTACCATGTACTTGCAAGCAAATATATAGGTAAACATAAAGCTGAAACAAGCTGATAAGTGCTGATATTCCCTTTCTAAAGCCAGCTATACTATAACTTATTAATTTTCACAGGTTAGGAGGTCAAGACCCTCTTGACTACATCAGCATGTATTGGAACCCTGGAAAGCCTGAGGAGCATATACCACCGCATTGGCACTACGTAAGGTAAAATTGATTCTACCCACATGTGGGAACGTTGTCCACAACATGTCAGCTCCATATTTCATGTTATTTAAGAGACAAGGGAACTTTCAGTCTACCTGAAGGTAAGCGGCTGCTGCAATTCATGGTCACCTGCAGCCAACTTCAAGCAAAAAAGACGCTACATAGCTAGCTACGGTCCTATAATAGTATATTGCATCACTTTAATTTAGAAACCTTAGAAAGTCGCAGTAAGTATAATGATGCAGTTTTTGTACATAAAATATTTAATTCTACATTTAATTGCCCCAGTTTAATGGAACTTTTTAAGTTTCGTGTACCTTCTAGATTACCTCGCAGCTCTATTGCACCACTTATTCCACCATTAAGAAGAACTGTCTTGGGAAAAAAATTCTCCTTATGCTAGGTTCTGCATAGTTATTAATGAATATAACAATCAAATCGACATTCACTTTGACTCACCGCAAACATTCTCTAAGTGTCTCTGTTAATGTATAAGTTAATAGCGTAAATAAAATTAGATTTCTTAGTTTTTTTTTAAGTTTTTGAGTTTATGTAGCACTATTGTTATTAATAAATATGTATTTAATTTTAGTTGAGGAATATCTTATTGTTTTTTTTTTATAAAGTTATATGTATGCAGGCAAAGTTTACCTTTAAGTAATGGTAGCACTTGTGTTAATACTTTTAAGTAATTGTATTAATTTGATGAGTTAGTGTTATCAATTGTTGGTAAACCTAAACTAAACTAAACTCAGAAAAAAAAAGACAACCAATGCATTGTCACCTCTGACGTCTAAGATGGAATGCCTCACAGAGTTTGATTATACTGGCAAGTGCACACACAGCTGCTTGGTGACAGAGATAATGTCCTCCAGACCGAATTTCGGTCTCGGTGGCCTGCCTCAACGAAGACTAGCCATCTGCGCAGGACAGTATTATAGTGCCCAAGTGTATGCGCAAGCACAGGTGCACTCTCTATTCCCTCATTCTCATAATCACATGGGGCAGTAAACTGACACGACCGGAGAGAGATCAGGCGCAGGAACAACGGGCTTTACGTGCTTTCCGAGGCATGGGGATGAGACACAACCAACTTCCTGACTCTGGGCAGCTACTGAGAATTTCTTGACGGAAAAACTCAATAATTGATTTTTGGCCCGACCCGGGATTCGAACCCAGGACCTCATCATCAGCAGTCGCACTACTACAACCACTAGACCAACGAGGCAGTCAACAGAAAGCAGTGACAGAAAAGGGTTGTATTCACCCAGAGGGACTCATAGACAGAGAAGGGGCACTATCACCTAAATAGAAATAGTATATATTTAAAGAAAACTTAACTTAGTATCCATTGTCTAATTTTGTCTTGTGAGTGGCGTAGGAGGTGACCATGGGAAAGTGGAGAAATATCTCTGGCTTTAATACATGTTGGTACAAACATCTCAAATATGCTAGATGTAAAGTATCCAGACCAGTATCGAGTAGGTACAAAGATCCTCACGTATGATATAACGATCGGCTTTGGGATTCAAACAAATTATATTTAATACATGAAAGAGTTAACTTTTACACGATTGACGATGAGTGTATGTACACACGATTGTAGTCAACTACAATAAAATTGTTATTAACAAAAATGTCAATGTCAATCATTAAAAATTTAAATCAGTACTAGTCTTCTGTAGTATTTATTATAGAAGATTTTCCTTCTGCGAGTTCCATGACGTCATATCGATTCACTATTATTCTGACGAATAGTTGAGGTATTCATTTTTAATATATAATGTGAGTAATGCATGTAGGACACAACCGTCTTGTATGAAGGTTTCCTTTCAAATGGTCACTGTGAACTTGACTTTCTAATTTATTGCGGCCTGATTAGTCAAGGGGCGTGGCTAGGCCGGCGTATATTGATTTCATTAATGTGAATGGTTGAATTAACTGTGTAATGTGAAGCAAAATATAAGCATGAAAGTTTTTTAATATAAGAGGGGACTAACGAGGATGCAGCTCATCTGATGTAAGTGACAACTGTCGCCCACGAATAACTCCCAGGGAATTTTATATACGAGACTGTCTTATTTTTATCATATTTTATATGGAATAAAAGTCACAAATTTTACAGTTTTCAAATTTTAAGGTTACGCAGTCCACCTGATAGTAAGTGGATGTTGTTACACATAAACACCTACATTTATCCGCGATTAAGTATGTACACATATCCATCGATCCTGAGGACTAATATGGAATGCTTCGGTTATACTTCAAGTGGTAAAATTAAAAATATTGGACAACCGACTCAATATAAATAAAACGAGAACATCATCAATGTATTCGAAGTCAATTAAATACGCATTATTAAGGATAACTCAAAAACTACTGGTCAGATCTTGATCAAATTTATAGGGGACCATGCGAAGCACCAGTTTTCAAGCTTTTAAGAATCATCAAAATCGGTTCGCCCAGAAGATAGTCCTGACGTATCACACAAAAAAAAACATACATTTGAATTGAGTACCTCCTACTTTTTGAAATTGGTTAAAAAAATACTGTCGCACACATGGCATCATGTTTTATATGTGGTATAAGTATAACCACGCTTCAACTATATTATGGTTGAAGCATGAATAGGTGGTCTCGACCAGGGAAAGTTGAAGCTCTCACAAAGTACCGGCGAAACAGCAGTTTAATGCTGCCCTGTTTCGTATAGTGATTGTAGAGAACCGGTGACCCTTTTTACTGGAAACTCCGAATTCTATATTAGTTTTCAGGGGTGACAACGCATCTGCATTTTGATTCTTAATCGTGGATAGATGTCTATGATTATGAACGGCAGCATCAACTTGCCCATCGGGTGATAAAAGTAATTTTACGGATTTTATCGTATTAAGACATGTGTCAATCATTCATTTCTCATGACCGAATGTCATATCATTCTATTCTTTCTAGTACATTTCGTCACGCGTACTGGTACATTCGGATCGATCATTCAAATGGATCATTTCGGGCTCCAGTACCCTACAATAAAAACAATTCATTCAGGTCATTCGGGATTCGGTCGGTTTTCGACTCATTAACAATTCATACCAATCACGAGTTAAAAAGGTACCGTCAATTGTTTGTGATTGTTGTATCGGAACATTCAAAAACAGATGAATGAACCATCAATACTTTTTAGTGTAACCAACTCAAACGAACGAATCATTCATGACATGTCTAATCGCATATAATTTTAGTTATTTTAATTTCCATAAATATAAGAAATCATTAGAGATATTAATTTACTCTCCTCACTCTACCTCAGCTTCGGTTTATCGGACCTGCACGGGGACGGGCGGGTTCACGCGGTGGGCGCGAACGAGTCTGGGCTCGGGTTAGAGCTGTCGTTGCGACTGGCAGCCAATGTACCGGGGCCATCTGGTACATCCGGTGCACTCGGTGCTGTGAATCCGGGGTCGTCGATCGCAGCGCCGCCGCTGTGGCCCGCTGCGTTGCTGCAGGCTCTCGCGCGGTACCTCCTCATCACAGGTCACTCATCGTTCCTTTCTTTTATTTATCTATTGCGGCTTTGACTACGGGGCATTTGGCCAACAAGAATATACTAGCACTGTAATGCATTAACAAATATATGTTAATAAAGGTAATCCATTATTAAATATTTAAGAGAACCACACAATAATATTCTTTATTGCACATCATATAAACATTTCAGAAATCATATATAAAAAAGACTGCAATGGGTGGTCAATATGTGGTGGCCAAAAGTCTTTTTTTAACTTAATTTTAAATTATTTTATGCCAAGATTCCAATGAATCTGTAATCTTATGAAGTACTCCTTTTATTTCAACGTTGATCTTTCAAACAAGAAATATGTATATATTTTTATAGGTAATATGTACTCAGTATCTTGCCAGTTTTTATCATGTTTCTATAAATAACTGTACGCAGCCGAAGGAGAAAATCGGAAGAAAAATAATATATACGAATTCTGACTATCCACCCTGTCAAGGCTGGATGCATGTAAACGATGAATTTACAAATAATTTGCAAGTAAACATATTTTTCCGTAGTAAGTCACGTTGCAGCTACATTATGAGTCGGATTGACCGGGGAAGAACCACGCTCTTACATAATACCAGTGTGAAATAGCAGCTTAATGCTGCTGTGTTTCGTATGGTGAGTGCAGAGAACTAGAGGCCCTTCTAACTGGAAACGAGGCATTTAATTTTAGTTCTCAGGGGTGACAACGCATCTGCATTTCGATTCTTAATTAAGGATAATTATTGTAGATGTCCATGGGTTGCAGAATTCACTTACTATCTGGTGGACTGTGCTTGTTTGTCGCACTCATTTCTAAATAGAATGAGTGTGACAAACAAATAGAATAAAATTGTTTGCGTGCAGGCAACAAATTCTGTGCGGGTGACCACATCTCATGGCACGCGCCATTGGATGGTGACAGTGGGTCTCGGGTGCGACACCTGCTGGTGGTAGAGGACCCGCAGCTGCCCACCATACACACTCCCCATGGCACCGTCCACTTTGTTCAGGTACCATAATATAATTGAATACTACTCTTGCATAATAACATGGGATCAGAGTCCGATGACGTCACAGAGGCGTGCTTGTACAGTGTGTAAAAAAGTTTAAAATGTATATGTTACAATTGAAACTCATACCTGTAAAAACCACTCGACTGCGAAGATAATCCAAAAATGGTTTTGACCGATGGCCGTAGTCAAAAATGATAAACATGACATAAACACTCACGCCTGTCACCCAGAGGGGTAGGCAGAAACTATAGACTTCCATTTAGCACGATCCTGACACACCTCTCTCGCCTCCTTCACGTCCATATACCTACGCATACATGCTCGTCGGTTAAGGGTACTCCTAATTTGGCCCGATTTTGATAAATCGTTAATTTGGTCGAAAAATTTTCGCCTAGGACGTCCCTTTCCGACTCAGCCATTCACTTCTGCAACATAAATTTTCTTTGTCACTCTTTCCTCATTCATTCTTTCCACATACTTTTTGTTTGCCCTATATATGAAGAGATCAATTAGAATCCGCGTGAAAGAACACATAGCTGACGTGAAGCATCAACGTTCCGGGAAGTCTGCAGTTTGCGATCATATTCTAGATGGCCCCAACCATTACATCAGATTTGATAGACCACAAATCCTCGCGAAAGAACATCGATTCCTACCAAGGATGATACGTGAGGCTATTGAAATTAAAAAACATCCTAATTTCAATAGAGAAGGAGGCTGGGTACTACCACCTGATTGGGATCCTATAATTAATAAAATTAAAACTAAACCCAAGAATACCACTGCAAGACTTCAAAATACAGTTAGTTCATTCTGCGTAGATCGGACCAAAGACAATAATTAAAAAGCTGAAGGTAATCCGGGTTAACTTTGACATCGGGACGTCAGTCACCTCAGTCTCCCGTGACCATGGGTGCTGGAAATCACCCGAAACGTCGAGTATTAAAATTAATATAAATAAAACGCGATAAAATCCGTAAAAGTAGTTTTAATCAATGTATAGGGTTCGCGTAAATATAAGAAATCATTACAGCAGTGGACTTTTAAGATACAAAAGTAACGGTAGATTTCTCAATTTATAATTAAGAATATAGTTTGAAATTTCCTAGATGGTGGGTTGTACCAGTAGAGAGTTAAAGGCAGCTCAAAGGGGCTCTGGCTTTGAGGTGCTTAAGCTTATCGCTGAAGATCCGAGGTAAGAAGTTGTATAAGATATTTGATATATATAGGTATATATTTTTTATAGAATGAAGGTGACAAACGAGTACACAGTCCACCTGATGGTAAGTGGTTGCTGCGACTCAATGACATCTAAAGTCTGTTTCTAGGACAGGCGGAAAAACTGGCAGTGACCTTTACGCCAGCTGCAGGGGTAACCAAACTTTTTTTGATAAAAATAAAACTTGATAGTTTTATCCACGACGTGTTCCAGGTCATTTAATTTATTTTCTTATGTTATTACAGGGTGCGGTAGTCCAAATATTTAGACCGGTTTATTATCTCTGTATAACCGCGTCGGTCACCGCACCCTGTACCAATAAACGTATTGCTAAGCGTTAGCGATAAAGAAAAAAAAACGTCAGGTATCGTTTTATATCGACGCAAACAACACGCTATGTAGTTCATTGTTGTGTTCGCCTGCTCCAGAAACAGATTATACTTATATTCTCCATTAAGAATCAAAATGCAGATGCGTTGCCACCTCTGAGGACTAAGACGGAATTCCTCGTTTCCAGTAAAAAGGAATTCCGGTTCTCTACAATGACTATACGAAACGTAACAGAATCGATTACTCCATGTCATTCCGTTCGTCTTGTAAGAGGCTGAATGAATAGCAACCTCTTCCTGATTACAACTCAAAATAAAAATAAAACTGTAGTTGTCTAAAGCAGTCTACGAGGAGGCCTATGTTCAGCAGAGAACATTTATATCGTTGCGCGCCACAATTAATGCCCGTTATAGGGCGGGTGATTATTAGCGCCATTTGGTATCAAGTAGCAGAAATAGGAGCCCCAAGATCTTTCTAAAAATTCTCCCACTAGCGCCATCTAGCATCGAATAGAAGAACTAAGCCTTCTAGAAAACTGCACACTCGAATTTTCTGCTCCTAGTCGGTCGGGACCGGTATTTGCTGGAACATTCTAGATGTTTCGGTGGAAAAGGCCTATATAAAGCCGTTCAGGGGCGCGACCGGGGTTTTATTAAATTAGCGATACAAGTAATATTGAATTAGCGATACAAGTGAAGACTTAATAGTGAACTAAAGTGTTAAGTGTGATTATTAGTAACTATATATATAGTCGGATTAATTCCAGCTGCCGAATTGCACTAACGCACATTGCGATAAAACTCACAATACCCTCCACACCGTCACCGCTTGGCGGTTTACTAGGAGTTTTCTTTCTCACACACTTCTTTGTGGAATCGTTTACCATTAGCGGTTTTTTCGAACCTAAACGGTTTAGGTACCTTCAAGAAATGAGTTTTCTCCTTTTTAAAAGTTCGGCAACGCCCCTACAATTTCCCTACGTTGATGTCTTCTTCATGTGTAGGCACATGGAGGTTTCGGGCCTCGGGGTAAGCCCCCATTACCCGTGCTGTCCTCGCGGTCCACTACTATGGACCGGTCCTGGGAGCCTTCTAATGGCGTTGTAGGTGTAAAAACGGTTGTCGCTATCGGTAGTTTTTTCGTAGTCGGTTATGACTACGAAAAAAGGAGGTTATCTAATGAAGTCGGAGTTGGCCTTTCAGCGGCATTGAGGGTTGTTACTCGACTCTCTAATCGATATAGAGAGGAGTTCTCTTGGATAGGGTCGCCCGTCCGGAGGGCGAGTGTGTAGCAGCGCAAAGTTGTTAAGATGTATATGCGGCCCGTTGTCTGCACGGTCGAACAGTCCGCGCGCCAACCGGGCCACAAATTCCTGTATGGTGTCAATCTTCAGGTTGGCCGCTATGACGTCATTCCGGACGTAGCGACCCGCACCGACGATGGTTCTTAACGCCATATTCTGCTGGGCCTGCAGTCGCCGCCTCAGAGGCTCACACAGAAGCGCGTACCAGGCCGGAGCAGCATAGGTGATAATGGCTCTGATGTAGGTTTTATATACACGCACTTTGGTGTTAAGTGGTAGCTTGGATGCCAGGACCGGACGTAGCATCGCCCGCGCACATCGTGTTCTACGGACGACGAGGTCGACGTGCGCAGTCATGCGCAGCGCCCGGTCGATCCGGCACCCAAGGTAGGTCACGGCCTTCTCGTACGCGATCTGCTGGCCATTGAGGGTTAATTGAGGTGGTAGGTTCTTGAGGCGGCGAGTGAGCAGAGCGGTCGTCTTACCAACGTTGGATGGATGGTCGTCCATCCTCCACTCATCTAGCCATGGTGGCAACAGGTCCAGGAGGCGTTGCATCCTGGCAGCGGCAATATGGGCTCTTCTGGAAGAGGTGAAATAAGTGCTATCGTCCGCATATAACGCCAATTCCACGTCGTCCTCCCATTCTTGCAGCCTGCCTGCCAGGGTAGGGATGTCGTTGGTATAAGCCGCGTACAGGACTGGAGACAAACAGCTGCCCTGAGGAACGCCGGCTCTGATGGTTCTGGTTGCGGACTCGGCGCCCTCTACGCAGACGTAGAACTTCCTATCTGCCAGGAAAGACGCCACTAGCCGCAACATAGCAGGAGGGACACTGGTCTGTTCTTCCAATTTAAAAAGTAATCCAGAATGCCACACCCTGTCGAACGCCTTCTCGATATCGAGAAAGACGCCCAACGTAGTGCGGCCACGGTTGTAATCGGCCGCAAGCAGGTGCAGCACTCTGGTCAGCTGTGTTGCTGTAGAGTGACCCCTCCTGAATCCGTGTTGCTCCGCCCGAAGTTGGATGCACGGGCGGAGGCGTCTTAGCAACAATCTTTCAAGCAGTTTAGCTATGTGTGGTAGCAGCGTGATCGGCCTGTAGCTGGCAGCTCTACGCCTGTCCTTCCCGGGTTTCGGCAAGACGATTACTTTGCCTTTCTTCCAGTCCTCCGGGAAGTGGGATGTCCGCAGTATCCCATTGTAGAGTCGACCAAGCTCTACTAGGACTCTATGGGGCAGCTGTCGGAGTGCAGCGTTGGTAATCCCGTCGTGCCCCGGCGCCTTCCTCGGTTGCAGGCGGGTTGCTGTCCACCGCAGTTCAGCGGGGGAGATGAACTACTCTCCTGCAAGAGGCGGCGCGGGCGACGACAGGAACTCCTGTACGCGACTCTCCTTTCGGGCATGAAGCTCCAAGAACTCCGCACTTGCTGGGTTCGGCATAAATTGCTCCTCGAAGTGCTCGACTAGGATATCCGCTCTACCCTTGGCATCGTAACGACGTTCGCCCGCGTTGTTGGTCAGCGGGCAAACGGGAGGTTTGGCTTTAGTTAACTGCCGGTTCAGTTTGTAGAGCGACGCCTCGTGCTCTTCCGCCTTCCATATGCGTCGCTCCCAGGCATCTCCTCTGTGTGCCTGGACTGCAACCGACAGTTCCTCCGACAAGGTGTTCAGTCTCGTTTTGATTCTCGGGCAGCGAGTACGCGCCCAGAGTCTCCTTAAGGCCCTTTTTCTCTTGATCTGCACGCAGATGTTATGCGGCAGATCATCCCTTCTGGAGGACATCGGGACGATCGTAGAGGCAGCATTGAGGGCCTCCTGTATTGCCTTTGTCATATTTGTGGCTGCGGCCTCTACGTCGTCCGCTGTGTTTAAGGGGTGGTGTGCTGGAGGTCTCTCCTGCAGGTGTTTGTGGTAGAGCCTCCAGTCGACACGTGTCTTCACTGTTCTGGGCGGCGTAGTCACCGCCTTTAAGCCAAGGGTAATTAAGATCGAGAGGTGCTGTGATTCCAGGTCGTACAGCACCTCTACCACTATCGGGTAGTTGATGTTCCTAGCGAGCACGATGTCCAGTACATCCGGACGACTTCGTGGATCCGTAGGAATGTGTGTAGGTTCTTCAGGACCTAAACGTCATAGCCGTATCTTTCGGCGTCTTCAAATAGCGCATGACCCGGCGGGTTGATCAGTCTAGATCCCCATGCCGGGTGTTTGGCGTTTAGGTCCCCGGCGATGATGGTCGGTGTTTCGCCTTCCATTACCGTCCGAACGTCTGAGGAGCAAAATGGAGTCCCTGGCGCGCGGTATGCTGCAAAGATCCTAAGTTCCTCGCCCGCCGCCTCCATTTTTATGCCGATAGAGCGCATAGTCTGGTATTCCGGTAGGTCTAGTTCTTGATGGACGATGTCCCTTCTCACTAGGACCGCTGTCCCTCTGTAAGCGGCCCCTTGAGAAGTGACCTCGTCCCTCCTATACAGATGGTAATTGGGCAGCTTTATGCGTGTACTCGGATTAAGTTTCGTCTCTCCCAGCAAGATGACCTGTACGTCTTGTTGTTGGGCGACGGTGCGGAGTTCTTGTAGCTTCTGCTGGATTCCACCTGGATTCCAGTAGAGGAGGCGCAGGTTATACTCCTCCATAGTGCCGAGCCAGGAGGTTCGCCAGCGCCTTCATGACTGCTGTGATGGGGTCGGTCCCGGCTCTGATGTCTGCCAGGACCTGGCTGCCGACTTCAATTGCAATGCCAACCAAACGTTGGATGGCGTCTGCAGTCTCGAAGCCGGCTGTTGGTGTTCTGCGTGTCTGTGCAGGAGTTGGCGCTGGTCTCGGGAGTTGGATTTGTGCTCTTTGCGTATGGGTAGAGCGCGCTCTATGTGTAGAGCGGGCTCTATTTTCTGATAGAGCCCTTTCTGGCACTCTACCCATTCTGGTTTTCTTGACCTCCTTGGTAACCTGCGCCTGGGCTATCGTTACCGCTGGGGTTGGGGTAGAGGTAGCTGCCTGAGGAGGAGGCTGCACCTTCTTCTTCTTCTTCTTCCTCCCTTTCCCTATTTTCCTTATATTTCCCTGGTGTTGCAGTTGTTTATGGGCGGCTGTCGACACTTACCATTAAGTAAGCCGCATGCTCGTTTATCCCCTCTTCTATAGAAAATGTAGGTGTGAGTGAGGCAGGGGTTGATTGTAAATGCAGATGCGGGGGAGCGTGGTGGGTGACGCGCGCGGGGCGGCGGCGCAGTGCGCGCGGGGTGCTGCGGCCACGGCGCGCGGCCTCGGGACCCGCCGCGCCAGCCGCCCCCCTAGCCGGAGTCTCAGCGAAGCTGCGGTGGCTGCCGCTCACACCGGTATGAAACCACCTCTCTCCTATCTTACGCGCATAACCTTTGAGGTTGATTTACACGTAAAAAGCAAAGACTTCTATGTATTATTTATTATTTATTCTTTTAAAAAATTGGGATGTCGATTCTTTCCTAAAAAGATCGATAGCTAAATCGATTCGAATCAAAATCTGATGAATTGATTCACAAAAAAATCAAGGTCTAAAAGATTTATTTCTCAGAAATCGATTTAATCAAAAGATACAACAAAATACAAATTACAAACGTAATTTACTTTTTATTTATTTAATCCAATAACAAGAGACGAAAGCAGCACACGGCAGTTTTGTGAGTTTCGAATTAAAAAATTATCATATTCTTTAAGAGTTTGGTTACATAAAACTAATTGTAAATAATTATATTAGTGTCACAAAAACAGAAATCAATCAATCTATCTCAGATCGACTTGCCTACTATATATACTACAAGATGGGCTCTGAGGCCTGTATTCACTGACCTCTATATATACAAGTACGCTGGACTGGTTATACACCGTGACACGTGAGGCGATTTGATTAGCGCCATTTTGGCGCTGACAGCAGAAGTGGGCGTCCACGGAACTAATAATAGGGATAAGACAGTGTGACAAAATATATCGATGAAAATTCTATACCCTACCTATACCTAAATAAGTAGAATGGACTCTATGGATAGATGGCCTCTACCCGTAACGTCCATTTTATTTATGTATCATATTAATAAAGCCATTATCGTTCATCATCATTAAAACTCTTCACAAGTCACCTGCTTAACATAGGCCTCCCACAAGGAATGCCTAAAAGCACGGTTCTGAGCCACCTGCATCCATCAACTTCCTGCATGTCTTACCAGTTTGTAACTGCATCTAGTGGGAGACGTCCTACACTTCACCTGCCGGTACGAGGCTGCCACTCGAGAACCTTTCGTTCCCATCGGTTATCGGTTCTTCGAGATATATGGCCGGTCACTCTGGTTTTACTGCGGATATCCTCATTCGTAAGTTTATTGCGGGAAAAAATCCTCAGCATAACCCTCTTCATAGCTCGCTGAGCAACTTCGAGCTTCCTCATACGGCCAGCAGTGAAAGACCACGTTTCAGATCCATATGTCATCACTGGCAACACGCGCTGGTTGTACAATATAGTTCTGAGGTATGCCTGACGAGAAGATGTGTCGTAATTTCCCGAACGCTGCCCAGCCGAGTTGAATCCGTCGATTGACCTCTCGGTCAAAGTTGGACTTACCTAGTCGGACTATTTGTCCCTGGTAAACACACAGACTTCAGAAATAGACCAAACCATCTTTTGAAGTGATATTAAGTTCCCGGTAGCAACTTGTGTTTCGACCTATGTACCAAATTTATATTGATAAAAAATAATCAAATTTGCCGCGGTTTGCTACTAATAAAAAAAAAACAAAAAATCAAGATACCAACATTAAAAAGAAGAATCTCTTCCCAGGCTCTCAATCTCAAGCAGCTCCATGTATTCTGGGGGCAGCAACGTACCGCCTTCCATGGTTACGAGATCAACATCCGGATCAACTTTGTCGGTACCTATTGCACTAGCTCCTAAGTTTTCCAGCTTCGGCAGTGCCACGTATTCTGGAGGGCTCAATAACGATGGCCAGAATTTGTAAATAAGAAAGAAACTAAAGTAGGGTCCCTACGAAGTTAAAGAACAAATTAAATCTCCAGACTCGAGATTGAATTAAATCTCTAGACTCGTATTTACTAAATATTAAACCCACATGGTATTCTACCTCGTCGCAAACTGGCAGGGCCAAGGAAACGCTTTCATGCACATCCCCATCAGTGCCAGCTGACCAATGGCAGCCCCTCCTTAGTTGCCGACTTCTCCTCCCCGTTTTCTTTCTGATATAAGGTGCACCAGAAACACAAGCCACATTGCCCTTTGCGGCTTCTAACTATACTTGCACTGCGACGATGATATTTTTTTATAGGAGAGGGGGCAAACGAGCACATGGCTCACCTGATTGTAAGTGATTACCACCGCCCATGAACAGCTGCAACGCCAGGGGGATTGCAGATGCGTTTCCGGCCTTTTAAAAAGGAACAGGCTCTGTTCTTATATCTTTTCTTTCGATATGTGAATGGAGCCAGGAAAAAACGAGCACTTGGAAGCATCAAGTGGTGCAGCCTCACCAAAGTCCCGAAAGAAGAGCATGCAACATCGCCAATCGCCATACCAACACTTCCCTTACGACTCCACCTCGACTACAGCGGTACAGGGAGAGGAATCTCCTCTAGCCGCAGCCCACTAACACACATCCATCGTGGCTTGACATCATCAGGCGACCTTTCTACACTTGGCTATGACCCTTGAGTTTGGGAGAAAATGAGAAGAGAAGAAATAAAAAAAATATTCGAAATAATAATGTAATACTTTTATACTTACTGGTACTGGTACTACAAGATAATATTGTCGATAAACTGCACTATTTCAAGGTGTCGCGGTTCTCAAGTCTAACAAAACAGTCGTCTGTGAAATGTTTAGAACAAAGATGATCATTTTATTTCGGACGCCAAATTCAAAATATTTATGCTTTTAAGCCATAATTTTAGTCTAGGTTCAGTTGGAAACCTGTGAATTAATAAACATTTGATAATCATCTGTTGTTGGCGACTTTGTTCGTTAACAGATATGGATAGGAAAGAACATCGATAAGTGTTATAGACAAGGAACTCGACAACCCTATTGAATTTTATTGTTTATCAAAACTCAGTAATATACAGCTAAACATGTTGGTAATTATGATATTAAGATTAGTAACAAATTTTTAAGTACCTATATTATCAAATAGTTTTAATTTGTTTAATATTAGCTGCAAATTCACTCACTTGGGGAATGTTATACCACTTTCCTTGTGGTAATGAGTTTTACAGATTACGAACACTCATTATTATTAAAAATAATTCTTATCATGTAACTAAAATTATACACACTCAAACAACATAAAATACTTTCGTTTTTTTGTTTAAGAGTTCAAAATACAGATTTTTTTAATAAGACAATTTAAATAAGACAGCAGACTTTGGCATATTATGTTAATATTAGTTCTCAAGACGACCAATAGTTGCGCTTCAAATTGGCACAGAACTTTTGTATGGTATAGCCAGTCCAGCGTACTTGTATATATAGAGGTCAGTGCATGTATTACATTGCGCACTAAGTCACGCTCAATTCTCCGTAATTCGTGTAGTCGACTGCTCGCGAGCGAAAAGCTTAGTTCATTGTTTTGTTAACCGCAAACGTCGTTTTCGACGATCCAACACTGATTCTGTTTAATGTGACTAAGAAAACGATCTCATTATTTATGTGTATAATTTGTTAACATGATTTGGAGTTTAATATAACATAATTTTGTTTCGTACTTGTGCAAAAATAGTAAATATCATGAATGAAGATACAACTAGCGTATTTGCCGACTACCCGCCCGAGACCACGCCTTCCAAAGCTGTGACACAGTTTTTTTATTTATTTATTTCTATTTATTTTGTTCTGAATAGTTAATATAGTAGTATTCATAAAAGTCTTCAATATTAACTATCTTTCGCAATCAAGTATTTAACATAATATTAAGTGAATAAGCATGTAAACAATAAATTTAGTAATAAGCAGCAAACATCCATTTTCAAATTGTGTTTTAAATAAATCCTAGAGTAATAATGAACCGCTATAATTTTTATATATTTTTCTAAAACCGAATAGTGCCATAAAAATTACTTTTAATTTATAATTTTAAGTTTTCGCGCAAAAACGCTAGCCGCCATGCTGTTAACCTCGTGACGTCACTGTCCTAGGATTTTGCAAAGGAAGAAGATATTTTCGGATTAATGAATTATCATCTTTACCATTGGTGTGCTGTGTCTGAATACAAAAATACGAGCATAAGAACGCCGGAGAAGTTATGGATTCAAATTCCAACTGATTTAAATATGAGAAACACTTCGTTAAAACTGGCAAGAAAATACTCGAATACATTATTTACAAAAATTACGAAGAATCCGTCTTCCATGATGCCTTTACATAAAATTCGGAATAAAACTTAACAATCGTAATAACTTCAAAAATGTCGAAATAAGACACATTAACGCTAACAGTACGTTTGCACTGAGAAACAGTTTTGAAACAAATCGCATAAAATAAATCACACAACATGTTTTGTTAATGGTGGCGTTCGCACAAAAACTGTGTAAAATTTTTAGATTCTTTGACAATATTTTTACTAATTTGTTATCAAACATTTTGTTGCTGTGGTTATAAAGATATAATATAGTTAAAATGTATAATGTACAATAAACTGTCAAACATATTTCATTACAACATGTTCTTTGACTATGCAAAATTTTGATACATTGACAAAAAACAGTGTTTAGAACATGTTTTTTTTTTGTGAAAATCGCGTCAGTGCAAACTCACGGTTATGTGTGTTGCTCATATAAAAATGTTAAAAGTATGTAAAAAAAACAAAACTGCATTGTACTCGAAACGTCGGGTATTTAAAATATGTTAATGTACGCGAATAATCAACAGCTGTCTATCCCAGGACAGCGAGGAGCTGACCGCATCACCCGGGAATCTCAGTCCGAGTGTTGAGCAGCAGATCAAGGACACTTTACAACGGGGACTCAGCTGCATGGGGTCCAGCACGGAGAGGACAGACCCTGAAGGTCAGGATCTTCTCTTATTACAGGTCTAGGTCTTCAGCTTGACGTTATTATATTATATCGTGTACATTGCTATTTATTATACAGGCTGTTAGTTTAAACACCGTTATCCTTGAAACCAGTGGTTTGGTTTTTTTTTTTTTCTTCAAGTCCGTAAATTCATGGATACCCTATGCGCCTGAGTGACGTAATCACTGTAAAGATCACCGCCCGCGCTGGCTACCTACACAACATTCCAAAAAAAAACACAATAGGTACACATAACCTGTCATGTAACTTTTCCTTCATACTTTCAACCTGGCTTAGGCCAGGCAAAAATTGAGTAATTAAGGAAAAACTGAGATTTTACTAAAAAATGTTTTTATTTTTCATTGAATTTACGTTCTATGAGTGAAACCAAACCACTGGTTTCAAGAATAACGGTGTTTACACTAACACCCTGTATATGTTTACAGCCTATTAAAGTCCACTGATGAATATAGGCTTCCTCCAAAGTTTGCAAAGATTGTTATGTTTCATATAGCTGACGTGAAGCACCGACGCTCTGGGAAGTCTGCAGTCTGCGAACATGTTCAAGATCCCCACCATTACATTAGATTTGATGAATCACAAATCCTCGCAAAAGAACACCGATTCCTACCGAGGATGATACGCGAGGCTATTGAAATTAAAAAAACATCCAAATTTTAATAGAGAAGATGGATTGGTGCTGCCATCTGCTTAGGATCCCATAATTAACAAAATTAACCCCAAACCCAAGCAGACCTCATGATACTATAAGCTCGTTATGCGTAAATCGGACCAAAAATTAATATTCAAAAAACTAAAGGTAGCCGGGCTAACTATGACATTGGGACGTCAAACACCTCAGTCCCCCCCCCCCCCGTGACCATGGGTGCTGTAAAGCACCCGAAACGTCGGGATAATAAAAATAAGTTAAAGGGATAATTAAACGCGATAAAATCTGTAAATAATAGTTTTATTCAATGTGTAGTGTTCGCGTAAATTTAAGAAATCATTATTCACAATCAAAGGTCACATGTCGACAGACAGCTTCGAGATGTCGAGCATGGAGCGAGCACTGCCGCACATCCCGGACTTAATGCAGGTGGGTGGATTTCTAGAAATTTGTTCGTTATGTAATGGAATTCCACTATTTCAAAAGTATTAAATTTAAGGTTAAATATGTTTTTTTTTTATTTATTAATAAGGAGACTAAAAGAAAATACTACTTTTTACTTTGAAAATTCATTAGTTTTCACGTTAATTGAAGTTCAATGTGTACTCGGTCCATGAGGAGTTCCATTACGACACTAAATAAACTTTACTATAAAATAAAACTAGCTCGTGGTATGAATGACAGCATTTATTATTCAAATATTTATTATAATCAGTCTTAGGATAGAGGTACCACATTAACCTAAACTACATAAATAAATGTAATTTAGACCACTAAACAACATTACGTCACTTTTTGGTACTTAGTACTTTAAACCAACGTCTTTCATGTGGTTCATACGATCTATAATGATATGTTTATATGATAAAATCAAACAGGTGCCTAAATATTCTTTTTTTATTAACCTAGTGTCAAATATTTACCTATAATTATACATAATTAAACAGTTGAAATAGCACAGCCAAAGGAGGACACGTTACGTTAATGGAATGAGATGTGACGTATAGGAACTATTAAGCTAAGTTTACAACATTAAAACAAAATACACAAAATCTTTAAACATTATACTTACTATCTAGTACCAACAATTAAAGATAGTTCAGTCATTTATAAACTCTAGGTGCTTAAAAAATCTTATTAAATAAACTTAAACACGTAATAACATTTCAGATCTAGGCAAACAATAATCAGTCATCAGTGGGAATTTCTTAATCTTCTAAGCAAATAGGACAAATGTAGTCAAAAAAGGTAGTTCCACTACACGAAAAGCACAGCCAATTCTTGCAAACCATGCATTTAACCATATTTTGAAGAAAAGTGGTTTGATGAAATATTTTCACTATCATTGATTATATCTTTGATACGAGTAGGTTTCAGATATTCAATTGTATCTTCTTTTTCAAATTGAGACGCCGTTATTTTGTCTGAATGCAAAGGAAAATCCAATAAATTTTCAAATTGTTCATCAGCAGTGGTGGAGTCAATAAGTGAGATATCAATATGTTCTATTATAGATTCACTATTAAAGACTTGGGTCGTATAATTCGGGACCAATGATTCTGATGGTCCGGGAGATAAAGAAACCAGTGATCTTCCTATTACGTGGCCGGTAACAAGCGCATCATTGTTACCAACTGGAAATAGTTCTGATGGCTCTAGATATGGAAGAACTACCATATCACTCATGTTGTTCGTCGCTGATTCAAGTACTCCAGTACGAGGGGGCTCCTGCATCTTGTAATTAGTCATCAATATATGAGTTTGAGGATCATGACATTTACACAAGCCCTGCATTCCGTCACAAAAGCAACTTAATATCCGGTGCTCTCTCTGATTTATATTTGTAGATATAATTTGGTGGAGTTGCATTGTACCGGGTAAAGTCCGTATTCCTTCGGGGATGAGAGATTTCATATTTTTGACATCATTGGCAGACACATAAAATGTTTTAACAGACTTCATTGTTCTTACCAATATTTTGTGAGCATCAGTAGCGTTGGTAATATCTTCGCCATATGATATTCTTTTATCCAATTGTCTTTTCACAGACCCCCAACGCCATCAGCTAAACTTTTACCATGTCCCGCCACTGAAAATGACCAAGTAGTATGGGATAATCCAAATTTTTTGGTGAAATAGTTTAAGCGAAAGAAATTGGCCCATCTGAAAAAAAATGTATAATTTTCATATCAGGATTTATTTGTTTTGCCTCTTTGATAACTGGTATAAGGTGTGCCCAGATGGAATGGGGCTTATGGCAGTTATCATCAGATATAGTCGAAAATGAAGTACTACTGCATTCCTTTCCAAAAATGACTCCAATGTGCAAAGTTATGGAATTTTGGACGCACCATAGTGCATCGACTGTATCTCTTTGCTGTACTTGCAGTCAAAATTTTCCGAGAAGTCACATAATATTATCATTTGTGCTTTTGTAAGATTCGTCACACATGCTCTGTACTGGCGATATTGTTCGCACCAGTTAAAAACATGTATTTTAAAGTTCTTCAATTGTTTTTCAAATTCCAGAATAAGCTCGCTTACAGTCCCTTTCATTTGTTGTTTGACGGTCTTTTTAGTAACATGCTCCTGGCCTGATTTTATATATTTGTGATCTACCCTGACCCATTGATACCAAATAATCTCATCTTCCAGCTTGTTTCCGCTGTATTGAACATAACTTTTGCACTCGTTGCATTTATTGTACATGCAGCGAAACGATTTCTTATCACACGCAACATTCTTTAATAAATCGCCAGTGTTAGTGTAGGTAATCACTCCTTTTAGTTTTAAAGCCATAAATATAAACTCCATATTGCTGTGTTTAATACACATGCATGTGTCTCTGCTAGCTAAACCTGGTGACAAAATATAAAATGGCTTGTATCTGAAGAAGGTGGTGTAACTGTATTTGCCACCATCATTCTTATAAATCTGATACAGATTTCTTAAAGTATCTACCAGATATCTGATTTGCATTTTTTTTCTTCACTGTTCTCGTTTCTTTCTTACCAGCCGTACTTCTACTTATACATAAACACTCACGCCTGTCACCCAGAGGGGTAGGCAGAGACTACAGACTTCCATTTGGCACGATCCTGACACACCTCTCTTGCCTCCTTCACATCCATACACCTACGCATACATGCTCGTCGGTTAAGGGTACTCCTAATTTGGCCGGTTTTCAATAAATAGCCAATTTGGTCGATAAATTTTCGCCTAGGACGTCCCTTTCCGACTCTGCCATTCACTTCTGCAACATAAATTTTCTTTGTCACTCTTTCCTCATTCATTCTTTCCACATGACTAAACCACCGAAGCATTCCTTTCTTAATCCTGGTCACAACATCATCTTGCAAACCACACTCTTCTCTTATTACACAATTTCTTACCCTGTCATTCAGATTCAGCCCTAACATACTCCTTAACGACCGCATTTCTACTGCGTTTATTCTACTCTCGTGCTTCTTCTGCCACACCCAACTTTCACTACCATACGTTAAAGTAGGGACCAACACAGCATTGTGAATTGCCATACGCGCCTTTTTCGACACATTTTGACTCTTCACAATAGAGTGCAAGGCCACATTTACTCTATTTCCCGCATTCACTCGTCGTTCTATGTCCTTATCATATCTCCCATCCCTGCTAAATACGCAGCCCAAATATACAAACTCATCTACTTGCTCGATCAACTCCCCTTCTATTCTTATTTCACAAATCGTTTTACTTTCTTCTCTTTTAAAAACCATAACCTTCGTCTTACTTGCGTTCACTTTCATACCCCTTTCTTTTAATGATCCGTTCATTAATGTAACCATCATTTGCAACTCGGCCGCCGACGACGCAAGAATAACTTGATCATCGGCGTACAAAAGGCATTTGACGGTTAACCCACCCATTCTTAATCCGCATTCTTCAACTTTCAAATTTTGCAAACAACTGTCCATAAATAGGTTGAACAGCCACGGGGAAGCCACACAGCCCTGTCTGACACCTTTATGGATGTCAAACCAGTCCGAGTAGACCCCGTTGATCCTAACACAAGCACTAGAGTCCCTATAAAGAGACTCCAATGCCTGTATCAAGCCAGCGCTCAACCCAAATGAGTTCAGTGTTTGCCATAGCAAATCCTTACTCTGTCATAGGCCTTTTCCAAGTCCATGACCGCACAAAAAACCTTTTGGTTTTTGACCAGAAACTTCTCCGCGATCATGCGCATGGAAAAGACTTGATCTGTACATCCCATTCCCTTTCTAAATCCCGCTTGCACATCCCAAATTTTTCCATCAGTTTCTTTCATGACCCTTTCAATCAGTACCTTAGCATACAGTTTTCCCACAATGCTAAGAAGGCTGATGCCACGGTAGTTTTTACGTCCTTCTTCGACCCTCTTCCTTTATATACTGGGACTATCACGGCTTTGCACCAGTCTACCGGTACCCGCTTCAGTTCCCAGCATAAATTAAGCAATGTGTGCAGCAGGCCTGCCACCACTTCCTCTCCAGCCCTTAGCATTTCGAGTGAAACTCTATCATATCCGGCAGCCTTACCTGCTTTCATGCTTTTCATTGCTTTCATTATTTCATCTATACTTATCTCTCTACCTCTTTCCTCTTCTACTTATGTCGTCTCAATTGTAAAATGCTTCCATTTCCAACACTATTTTTTGTTCGAAAGCACCCGTTTGCTCTTGCTTACAGTTCTTATTTTGCCTTTTAATCCTAAAAGTTTGTTACTAGAACCATTTTTCATGCTTTTGTTTAATTTTAGACCTATCTTTTTGATTAGTTGTTTATTGGCCGTTTTTTTACAATCAGAATATGTTTCACGCATGATAGCTCTTATAATTCTTGCCGTGCTCTAATTTTATCGTTTTCAGCCTTCAATATCATCATCATTCATGTTTCATTTTTTCCCAGTAAAGTTTCTTCCTCACATTATTTGGTGCAGTTTTGTATTCCTGATTTTTTATCTTAGATGTCTAAGTTTCTGCTTAAGTTACGGTATTTGATATGATTTAGGAACTTTCCTTAAATTTGTGTGAATAGATTGGGGTACTGTGTTCTGTTGAAGTGTTTTCTTTCTTTTTGCTCTTTTTTATTGTTGCCTCCATTTTTTTCTCGTTTCATATTTTCTTCATCGGTAAGCTCGTTTATCTTTTTTTTTGGGTCTTTTTTAGCCTTTCTAACTCTTTCTTTTTATGTTCCTCATACTTTTCCGGGTTCTGTTTAATTTTTTCTCTATATCTTTTAGCTCGCTCAGCAGCAGTAAGGTTCAGGTTCAGGTCTGTAATAATGTGAATAATTCAATATCTAGACGACGAAATAAAAACGAAACTTAATATACTTACAAAAATTAAATATTAAAAAAATCAAATATTCCAAGTATTTGCATCAATACTTACAATGGCATCAACTGCTAGGATACTAACGATTAGTATTACTAGGCATGTATACGTATAAATACAAGGTTTTTTTAATAAAACGTTTTTTACTATTGTACCAAATAGTATGCTTATCAGTTTAATAGAATTAAAAATTTCTGTCATATACCATCCATTTAATATTTTAATCGGAATAATACGAGACTAAAAACGGCAGACAGTGTGAAAATTGGTTGTCAATTTAAAAAAAAACAAGAAATATTAGCCTATAAAAGTATTATACATTGTACACACTGCCTATGAATTCCATTACGTCACGTTTTGCGTTCCCATATACAATACGTTACGTACGATGCTCTGTGACGTATGTCTACCGGTCGGTAGTTAAATGCAAATTACTCCTAAATTAATGCGAATTTGAATATTCTACTCATATTGCATCATTACTATATAAAACATCTAACATATAACTCACAAAAAAACTACCTAAAATAGGAATATTACCTTCAAAAACAGTCGTACGTAATTGAATCACAATTTATGCCACGTTACGGAGCGACCGCTCTACTCGGTTCATAAAGTAGAGTAATATATACAGAAATAGAAAGCCATCTTTATAGGATTTTTTATCACCCAATATGAATAGTGTCGCCGTCTGGTATCATATCCCTTGAACTAATCTCAATATCATGTTGACTATAGATAGCTGTATGTAGTTATGTATATACAGCTATCTATACTATAGGCGGTTATATTTATATTTTAAGGGATTAGGGTTCAATTAAAGACGTATTATAGATTTCAGTAATATTAACATTTATTTTTGTAATTATATAAACCAAATTAAATATGTCCACTGGGTTACCGGAATGATAAATGAAAGCGTCTATTTCGCACAACACTACACAAACATACAATGTGGTTCCAGCATGAAAATCTGAGCAGACAACAAGAAACAGAGGGCTAATCCCAACTCAACCAAGCTTATTGTAACAACCGAAAATCACTTATAAACTATAATAAAACAACAACTTGCTCAGACGCCGGTAGCCATTATGTCATATAAAGTTGCTACTTGCCAGTTCGACAATAATGCGGATATATCCGCATAAACTTTCGAACATTAAATTCTAAAAGGTGCGCTAGATGGCGATAATTCTGGTTATTGTCGGATGTATGTACAAGATGTCACTAGTGTCTGCAAATTATTGAACCCCAACCTAGTATGGAAGTGTACCCCCCCCCTGGCTCGGTTTTCCGGCTAGACTGCTGTCAAAAATTTACCTAATCATTAAGTTTAATTATAAGATATTGGACATATGAACTTTTAAAATAACAATCTTATCAATATTATAGAGAAGAATAACATTACAAATTCGCTGCATTTAAATCTGCATAGGTGGTGTGGACACTTGAGATTGGGCACGTTTTTATTTTGCATTTAATATTTTTTTAATTTAATCTAGGATTTGCAGTTATTATAAATGATTTTTTTTTTTTGATTAATATAAAACATTTGAATTTATTTTTAAAAACACATGTATTGAAGCAATGCGTCTCCGATACACAAGTTGAAAGTCATAAGACACGGAATTTCCTTGCAAACAACATTTGTGAAATCCGCCCAGGTACGAGTATGTAACACATTCGCAACCGGGAGGGTCTCTTAAGTAAAATTAAACGCGATAAGATGATTTATAATTCAATAGAATAGAATCATTTTTATCAAATACTAAATGCTAACTAGCGCGTTACTGGCGCAGAAAAATACTGTGATTATGTTTCAAAAGCCGTGGTAGCTCAGATGGTTAACGCTCACTGTAAATATAACAGAACGCGAGTAACCCGGGTTCGATCCCCGCCGGCACCAATGAAATTGTTAATTGCAATTTTAAGTGCTGATTTAACACGTGCTCGGCGGTGAAGGAAAATATCGTGAGGAAACCTGCATGTCTGAGGAATAAGAAAAAGAATATTTCTTAGACATGTGAAGTTCGCCAACACGCATTAGGGCAGCGGCGGACACTTCCTTGCTCTAAAACCCTCTCAGAAACGTGGGGAGGCCTGTGCCCAGCAGTGGGACGTATATAGGCTGTAACTTAGCGGTCAGCCGCCGTAGAGTCTACATTACCTGAAGATGCCTCGTGTATTATCGTCGATGGTGTGTCTTACCTGGAATAGTGGTGTTGGGAGTAGTGGTGCTGGGACTAGTGGTGACGAAGTTAGTGCATGCAATTGAGAGACGGCGGGAGGTGCTCTTCAATCCAGGTAAGACACATCATTGTATTTAGTTAGCGGAAGGTTGCGAGGAAATTTGTATTTTTATTTTTTATTTTTCTTTTATGTTTTAAAAGGAGATAGTCCAAAATTGTATGAAACGTAGGCCTAGTTTTGTACTAATGGGGAAATAAATTAAAATATTAAACCACTTTTGATCATTCAAATTCACGAATTTGCCTTGATTTCCGTGGTATATATTTTTTTATTTACGTCTAGTTCGGAAAAAAACTCTGTCCTAGTAAGAACCAGCAAGAAACCCAGCGGAACAGTTTTTTTTAAATAACAACTTACAATCATGTATGTTACGATTAGCAACACAAAACAAATTAGAAATAGCTTGGTAGCGATCACCCTTCCCGGGAGTTATTATCATTCATAAATTCCTTAATATTATAATCACCCTTGTTATACAAATTTAGTTTAATAACTTTTTGAACTTGGCGTATGACACATTTTGTATATTTTCTGGGATTTTGTTGTAAAAGCGTATACATCGCCCCAAGAATGAATTACTGACTCGGTGGAGTCGAGTAACTGGTACTACCAGCTTGTGTCTGCTCCTAGTATTTACAAAATGAATATCACTTATTTTTGGAAAACTATTTTTGTGTACGTACATTAACATTTTCATAAATGTATTAAGAGGCCAAAGTTAATATATATTTTTAAATATAATTTTTGTCTGAGCGACTCTTTAGTTTTTAAATCATAGATTGTTCTAACCGTGAGTTTGCACTGACTGTTTTCTGTCAATGTATCAAAAAGCGTTTACATGGTCAAAGAACATGTTGTAGTGAAATATGTTTGACAGTTTATGGTATATTACATATTTTAACTAAGTATATTATATCTTTATAACTACCTACAGAAACAAAATGTTTGATAACAAATTTGTAGAAATATTGTCACGTTGAAGGATAAGCTTGAATATCTGTTGAAAATTTTACACAGTTTTTGTGAGTGCGAACGCCACCATCGACAAAACATGTTGTGTGATTTATTTTATGCGATTTGGTTCAAAACATTACTTGTTGGATGTTCCTCAGTGCAAACGTACGGTAATGGCCCTCTTTTGTAAGGAGACTATTTAATGTTACTTGTTTGTTTCAATTCACCCTGAAAACACTCATCATTCTCTAAACCATTTCCCATTATCTGGGGTCGGCGCAGTAAATCTTCTTGTTCCATTCCTCTCTATCAGCCGTCATTTCCATACTTACTCCTTTCATTCTCTTATCACTCTTCACACAATCGATCCATCTTTTATTCGGCCTTCCTCTGCCCGTGTGTCCCTCCACATTCATATTCAACACTCGTTTTGTGACATGACTTTCATCCCTCCGCATCACATGCCCAAACCATGCCAATCTGCTTCCTCTCACCTTTTCTACCACTGGCGCTACTTTCAGGCTTCCTCTTATATACTCATTCCTTATCTTATCCATCCTTGTCACACCACACATCCATCGTAACATTCTCATTTCATTCGCATGCAGTCTATTTTCATCCTTCTTCTTGACGGCCCAGCATTCACTTCCATACATGACGACAGGTCGGATGATCGATTTGTAAATTCTCCCCTTCAGCCTTATTGGCATTCGGGGATCGCACGTTGTGGCTGTGACCTGTCGCCATTTCATCCACCCTGCGTTAATCCTATGCTGCACAGCTCTATCTATTCCACCGTCGCCTTGAATGAGGGAACCGAGGTACTTGAATTCTGAGCAGGTAGGCAGTATAGCGCCATCCAACGACATGGGTACAGGACTGGAAAGACCGCCGAAATCACAGCACAGATATTCGGTTTTGGATCTGCTGATCTTCAAGCCAACACTTTCCAGCCTCTGTTGCCACCCCGTCAGTCTGCTCTGTACCTCGATGCCTTCTTCCCCGACAAGCACGATGTCATCGGCAAAGAGCATGCACCAGGGTGCCTCATCCTGCAGGTCCGACGTCAAAGCGTCCATAATCAGTAGGAAGAGGTAAGGGCTCAATGCCGACCCTTGGTGCAGCCCTACCGCCACATCGATACTGCCCGTAGTTCCCGCGGCAGATCGTACACATGTACGGGATGCTCTGTACATAGCACGGACTAACCTCACATACTTCCCAGGCATACCTTTCATCTTTAACTTCCCCCTCCCAAGGGGATCCTTATGTTTGTTGAGGCTAACAGTTAAGCAGATGTCAGCCAGCAGAATTCGGTGCTGGGATACTAAGTCTTCACCTGGAAGCACTTTGCAGTTTTTTACACTCTTGATTTGGTTCACCCCTGAAAACACTGACAATGATAATATATATAATTGATATATTTATTTGTTCTAGGGCTCATGGTGTAGCGATGATACGATAGAGTACTTGGATGGAGTTCATCTTATACTCAATGCTGAGGGAGCGAGCTTGCTGCCATTGGCTATTGAGTAAGATCTCTCATATAACTGGTGTTTGGGTTATTTAAACTAAATTAGTGTTTTATAGAAGTTTAAGATTCTAACAGAGAATAAGTTTGTCCTTCAGACAGAATTATGGTCACGGCGGCCAGACCATCTACGCAGGACAGGATTATAGTGCCCAAGTGTATGCTCAAGCACAGGTGCACTCTCGATTCCCTCACTCTCATAATCCGATGTCAACATGTGGGAAATTATATATTTTTAACTCAGACAAAATAAAAAGTCAAGACAGAGCCCCGCCGAACAACGCACTGAAGCCGGTAAAACTACGCTTCGCCTTGTACATACACAGTTACACGCACACACATAAAACGAAACTACGCCTTACCTTGTCAGTCGAGCTATTCCGGCGCGCAGTGTCACGCTATAATAATTCGCAATATTTAAAATAAAAATGCCAAATTGTGTTGTGAAAAGGTGTTAAAACCAATCTTCGAGAAATAAAAAGCAGGATGGAATCACATTTCATACGAAAGTAAACATAAAAATCCATATTTTTAATAAATAAATTTTATTATTTATTATGACAGATTAGAACATAAAACCTCCACAAGTTTTGCCACTAGTAAGCTTCACAATAGCCCCCGTTTATTGAGTAAGTTATTAATGTGATGTGAAACGTAATGTAATACGTTCATTTAACTATTTGTACTTTTACTTTTAATATTCATAAAATTAATGTAAGTGTAAATAGGTATTAAATTTTTTCTAAAAAAACTAAATGCATTCCAAGAGCATAAAATAAGGTTAATAAGATGCATAATGTAAAAAAAAATATTTATTCGCTTCCACCATATATTATATTACATAGAAAAAATTTCCAAAACGGTGGACAGTAAACTGCTATTAAAATAAAAATAATGTTTTATATTATTACTATTGCTTTACGTTGCTATTGTTTTATTTTCTCCCTGCGTAGTCGGAATAAACTACTTATATACTACCTCTTAAAAGTCAGTTATACAAATGCCAACTTATCTGTTTACTTATCCATTCATCCTGCCAGTACTTAGAAAGTAATTTATTGGGGTAATTAGTTTTTACCGTGATTAAAACTACTTTTACGGATTTTATCGCGTTTATTTTTGCTTTTAATCACTTTTATTTTTAATTCCCGACGTTTCGGGCGCTTTCCAGCACCCATGGTCACGGGGGGACTAAAAATAAAAGTAATTAAAAGCAAAATTAAACGCGATAAAATCCGTAAAAGTAGTTTTAATCATGTGTAGTGTTCGCGTAAATATAAGAAATCATTAGTTTTTACCGTAGAGCAACATTCACTAAGTGCACATATGTTTACGAAACCGACCTTTCATTGTTGTCAGCGCTCTGTTTTCACTTTTTATTTTGTCTGAGATTTTAAATTTAATAATAAAAAGGTTATTTAATTTATTTTTGGCCAGTTGTTGCAAAATAACCGTGTACAATAAACATACTTGTGTTGCAGCGGGCGCCTGGCTCACGGGCGGCACTTCACGTGGCGCGGGGCGGGCGCGGCCGCCACGCTCGTGCCGTGCGGCGTGCCCGCCGCTCTGCCCAGCCTCGCGCGGCCCTACGTGCAGCGTGGAGCCTGGTTACAGGTACATTGTATACTGTGCTGTACTGGAACACGACGCGTGTTCCTTGCAGCGAGCGCTCAGCTCACGTGCCCGCCGCCCTGCCCAGCCTCGCGCGGCCCTACGTGCAGCGTGGAGCCTGGCTGCAGGTACATTGTATACTGTGCTGTACTGGAACACGACGCGTGTTCCTTGCAGCGAGCGCTCAGCTCACGTGCCCGCCGCCCTGCCCAGCCTCGCGCGGCCCTACGTGCAGCGTGGAGCCTGGTTACAGGTACATTGTATACTGTGCTGTACTGGAACACGACGCGTGTTCCTTGCAGCGAGCGCTCAGCTCACGTGCCCGCCGCCCTGCCCAGCCTCGCGCGGCCCTACGTGCAGCGTGGAGCCTGGCTACAGGTACATTGTATACTGTGCTGTACTGGAACACGACGCGTGTTCCTTGCAGCGAGCGCTCAGCTCACGTGCCCGCCGCCCTGCCCAGCCTCGCGCGGCCCTACGTGCAGCGTGGAGCCTGGTTACAGGTACATTGTATACTGTGCTGTACTGGAACACGACGCGTGTTCCTTGCAGCGAGCGCTCAGCTTACGTGGTCGCCGCCCTGCCCAGCCTCGCGCGGCCCTACGCGCAGCGGGGAGCCTGGTTACAGGTACATTGTATACTGTGCTGTACTGGAACACGACGCGTGTTCCTTGCAGCGAGCGCTCAGCTCACGTGGCCGCCGCCCTGCCCAGCCTCGCGCGGCCCTACGCGCAGTGGGGAGCCTGGCTGCAGGTACATTGTATACTGTGCTGTACTGGAACACGACGCGTGTTCCTTGCAGCGAGCGCTCAGCTCACGTGGCCGCCGCCCTGCCCAGCCTCGCGCGGCCCTACGCGCAGTGGGGAGCCTGGCTGCAGGTACATTGTATACCGTGCTGTACTGGAACACGACGCGTGTTCCTTGCAGCGAGCGCTCAGCTCACGTGGCCGCCGCCCTGCCCAGCCTCGCGCGGCCCTACGCGCAGTGGGGAGCCTGGCTGCAGGTACATTGTATACTGTGCTGTACTGGAACACGACGCGTGTTCCTTGCAGCGAGCGCTCAGCTCACGTGGCCGCCGCCCTGCCCAGCCTCGCGCGGCCCTACGCGCAGTGGGGAGCCTGGCTGCAGGTACATTGTATACTGTGCTGTACTGGAACACGACGCGTGTTCCTTGCAGCGAGCGCTCAGCTCACGTGGCCGCCGCCCTGCCCAGCCTCGCGCGGCCCTACGCGCAGTGGGGAGCCTGGCTGCAGGTACATTGTATACTGTGCTGTACTAGAACACGACGCGTGTTCCTTGCAGCGAGCGCTCAGCTCACGTGGCCGCCGCCCTGCCCAGCCTCGCGTGGCCCTACGCGCAGTGGGGAGCCTGGCTGCAGGTACATTGTATACTGTGCTGTACTGGAACACGACGCGTGTTCCTTGCAGCGAGCGCTCAGCTCACGTGGCCGCCGCCCTGCCCAGCCTCTCGCGGCCCTACGCGCAGTGGGGAGCCTGGCTGCAGGTACATTGTATACTGTGCTGTACTGGAACACGACGCGTGTTCCTTGCAGCGAGCGCTCAGCTCGCGTGGCCGCCGCCCTGCCCAGCCTCGCGCGGCCCTACGCGCAGCGAGGAGTCTGGCTGCAGGTACATTGTATACTTCGTAGCTCGATAAGTCGATTAATCGAAGAATCGATTTTTTGTGTAAAAGGGATTGATTTTTTAAATCGATATATAGTACTGAATCGATATTTCACCCTATATAATCGAGATCAAATCTTTTTCTGTTTTTATAAGAACTATAAATTATATACAATTAGTTGAAGGTACTCAAACTCGTGAAGAATGACAGTTATTATATTTAAAAATTCGTAAAACTGCTGTGTGCTCAGTTTCTTTCGCCTCTTTGTAATGGAATAATGAATAAAAAATTAAGTTTGAAATTGTATATTGTACTTTGTTGTATTTTTTGATATTGTAAGTATAAACTCTTAAATCGATCTAGATTTAGATCTCGATTTCTTTTTTGTAAATCGATTCGTTTGATATCGATTTGAATCGATTTAAAAATCGATCTTTTTCGGTAAAAATCGACATCCCTAGTTGTACTGTATTGTTGTGTTGTGTGTAGAGTACTATAGTGCGCTTGCTTATCAATTAGGGAAGTTCGATGAACATCGATGTTCGATGATCATCGATGTTAAAAAGTAAATCATCGATGATGCCATATTTCAAACATCGAAACATTGATGTCAATGAACCCATAATCGATTATTGGAAGGTTATTTTCAAAAGCTGGCACACCTCTTTATCAACAGACAAACAGATTGAAAGATACTTCCCTGTCAAAATTACTATCTCTTCAATCAGTAGCTAAAATATTGGACTGTATGAGAAATTAACTAGATATTTGTTAACTACTTTCAATTATTTTAATAACTGTTTTAAACTTGGTATCAGTTAGTTTTTTTTATTCATCTAATTCTAACATAATTAAATCCATGTGCAAAAAACATGGATAATGTTCAACATCGATGTTGAGCTATCGATGCCAAAATCGATCTCATCATCGATGTTTCTACAACTTCGATCATCCCTATTATCAATGCTCGGCACCTCACAGGTGCTGATACCCGAGCAGCTGGCGCGCGAGATGTCGCCACAAGTCGCGCCGCTGGCCTCCCTGGCGCCAGTTGACTCGGAGTCCGACGCGGAGTCCGAGAGCGAGGGTGAACCGCAGCCTCCGAAGCTTCCCCTCGCGCTGCACTGGCCCCGCTACCGTCTCAAGATCACCGTGTTGCCGGATCACGAGCTCTTCTAGCGGTCTAGCGAGCAAGCGATGTGTCATGTGTGCTGTTACGTTATAGTGTGTACCAAATAAATGCTAAGTTTTGTTGCTTGTTTTATTTCAACTGTATAATAGTATAGAGTTGTGCATAGACTATAAATGATTACACTATTTCTATAAAGTATACTATTTTTTAGCCGACCCTATCCGAAAATTTGAATCTTAAAATGATCTAACTACATATCCTTGACTTTACATTTAATTTATCCATAATAATGTCACTGGGCTTATTATACAAAATGTCTTAACGCTACCTACTCGTAAGTAATTATTCTGATAGATATTGTGTACGTAACTTCGATAATAATTTAGTTAATAATCTTTGTTATTGTATTAACAATAATAATAATCATTATTGACATAAAAATGATACAATATTATTTAAGTAATTTATTTAATAATTTTTGTATTATGTATGTACTTTTTTTTCCATAAAATAGACTTGCGAAAATAGTATGTTTATATTCATATGATGTGTACGAACGTAGCAAACGTTGTTAGCCTCTAAAACCCTTACGAGAACAGTAAAGGATGATTCACAGTACACTGTCGCGACCGGGGCCCAGCCCGGTCGGGACACGGTCAAATATCTTAGTATACTTTTTGTATAGGGTGATTCATGCTTGACCGTGGGTCAGCCGTGCCACCGCGTGCGCCGCCGGGGCACAGCGTCGAAATGTCGGCGGGTATTGTTTCCCGGCGCGGCCTCGACACGTTGATGAATGTGTACGTCGGGCGCCCGCAGGGCCTGCGACAGACTGCTAATCCTTCGATGGGAGATTGGGAGATATAGGCTTTAGAATTCTTAATATTTTTTTGGTTAGGTCTGATTTTACTTTTTAAAGTAAAAAAGGAAAGCATTACCTATAGTAGTTTTGTTCCTTCCTCTGTGGTTCCCAATGGAGGCAGATATCAGCCAAGGTTTGATCGCTCTTGTAAAATAGCATCATGCAGGAGTGCTACCGGGCCTGCGCTGACCCATCAACGTCCCGGGATGTAAACACCAGCGCCCTAAAAAAGAAGTATGATTCCGCCTCCAGGTCCTTCAAAAGAGTCATTGCCAAGGCAAAGTTAGAGCACATTGGCAGATTTGATGAGAAACTAGTTCGCCTTGTGGAACCGGCGCATTCTGGGCCCTCGCCAAGGCTGTCCAAGGAAGTTTCTGTCAGTCATCACATCTTTGCACAGGGAGGACGACTCACGACAGTATTTCATGCCGGCACACTGACTGCAACTTTACAAGGTGCAGGTTCGGCTTCACATGGAATATTGTTCCTATCTCTGGCCAGGTAAACCGTATGCTCGTTTACCCCCTCACCTTGAAAGAATTAACCACTGGACCCTACATAAAACACAAATGTATGAAAACTCGTTCAACCAAGTGGAGAATAACGCACAAAAAATTTTATTACGTTAACCTTTTGAGCGCCAAAGTCGTCTATACGTGACCAGCACCTGCGTGCCCTGAGCGCCAACGACGTCTATAGTTGACAAAAAACCCGGCCCACAAAAATATGAAATATAGACATTGGAAAATTATTACTGGTATTTTAATTCTACACCCCTCAAAAAAGAATAACTCAGTAACATGCGAGTATATAAAACAAGTCTCCTAGAGCCACAAGTACTAAGAAACATTGAACTAAAAAAATGGATTTTTATCTAAGCAAATACTATGTCCAGCACGCCAAAGTCGTCTATGTTAGACCGCTAGTGTTGTAATGCGTTAGGCATAAATTTATTGAAAACTATTCAACTTTTTTTGTTACTAACACTTTCGCGTCTTACAGTATAGCCGTACAAAAGTTACCTACCTAAATAAATAAAAAATTGAAAATATTCAAGTAGAAATAAATATATGCACATAATTTGGTACTTATATGTTTTTAGTGACAGTTTCAATAAAGGAAAAATATGTATTATACAATCCGTACCTGCTTAGCGATTTTATGAGTTGTTTTCTATTATTTTAATAATTTGATACATAATGTAGCGGCGTTTCATAATCGGCACATTAAAATTATCATGAAACCAAAGTTTTTCATTTTCGATTAACTCTACCTCAATGAGGTAGGAATACACTTTATAGTTTTTTACGGTTAATTTCTTTTTTTATAGCATAGGGTAATAAACGAGCACGCAGTCCACCTGATGGTAAGTGGTTACTGTGGCCCATAGACATTTACATCTATCCTCGATTACGAATCAAAATGCAGATGCGCTCTCACCCGTGAGGACTTAGATGGAATGCCTCGTTTCCAGTAAAGAGGGTCTCCGGTTCTCTACACTTGCCATACGAAATACAGCAGCATTAAGCTACTATTTGACGCCGGTATTCCGTGAGAGCGTGGTTCTTCCCCGGTTGAGCCGACCCATTCGTGCTACAACTACTCTCTCGTAATATAACTGCAGCATGGCTCTACCACGTTAGAAAATTTGCTTTGGACAGCTAAACATTTGTTTTATTATTCCATAAGATTTTTATTATTTTAAGACTAATATTACCTATAATTTATTAATTATTTTTAATTGTTGTTTTTTATATTAAGTACTGATTGAGTTAAAGACCAAGATTTTAATATTTTAAGACTAGACCTAGGTAAATAATTATTTACAATTGTTGATTAGTAAATAATTATGTACCTTTTTTATTTTAATAATATATAATTACAAATAATAAATGTGTTTTCTTTACTTAAGGTATGAAGAGCAATTTTTCATTTTGTGTTGTGCGATTTTCTTTCTCAATCCAAAATCATTTAGCAACATCAGCATCATATGAAACCCCCATTGTCATAAGAGCGTAAGACTTTTCTTCTGTGATTCACTTGGCCTACGCCTCGCCATAAAATATTTAGAATCGATGTCTGTATATTTTGGTTAGATCGATTTTGAAATCGATACACAACGTGCGACACGGCTACATCTCTAAGAAAGTTTCAAAAAGAAAGGTCAGCTACGCCGTTGTCGTCCAGTCGTGACAGTGACGTCATCACGATGAAGAGTAGTGTTGTGGTTTACTACTATTTTATTGTTATTGTTTCTTTTTTATTTATGTACAAAGTACATATATAAAAAGTACATATATAAAAAGAGTGGAAGACAGCACAAGATTAAATAAAACATACCCGATTATAAAGAGTCATTTATTGTATAAAAAACCAACAAAAACAAGTTATTTTGTGTTATCGATATATCAACTCTTGGCAGCACTGTTTTTTTCGTAGGTATTTTTGTTTACTTTTCGCTTTGGCGTACAGGACACGGTAGTGAGTTTTTGGCGTGGCGCTCAAAAAGGTTAATATAAACACAGATATACGACATTCGTAGAAGTTCACTCTATTTCTAGTGCTTGAACGTAGTCGATAAAATATATCGATGAACGACCGAGAAAGAAAAGGCATATCGTAAATAAGGTGTAAGACAAATGAAAAAAGGGGATGATGAAGGTGAGGTAAGATTCCGATATTTATTAAAATAAAAGAAGCAAAACATTGTTATGGACTTTTTATTCAATTAGTTATGATAAACGTCAAATTTTTTGTTAAGTTTAAATTATATTAATAGATTTACTGACTTATTATGTATCATCTTTCTTAAAATGTGTTTTCTTAGAATCTGTTTTGTTCGCTTGTTTTCTTATTTAAGCAATTCTAATATTTATATACTTTTCAGAAACGGCTTTCGTTAATTCTTCGACGTGGTTCACTTCGTCGTTTTCAAATTTATGGACATTAATGTCTTCATACAATGGAAGTTGCAGCAATGTTTCTGTTACTTTCGGCAGGAGAAAATCTGTTGTGTAATCTTTTTTTTAGTCTTTTAATCTAAACACCCTTCGTAAGTTCGAGTTCGCAGTGCTGACAAATAGCTATGATATCACTTGAGGGAAGTATCAGTTTTCCCTTGTCTTTATGGGCAATGAGACTGCCTTCATAGGTTACTTTTTTTCGTGGGAAAATAGAATATGTTGCAAAAGTTTGTCCTTCTTTCACGTCGCAACAGAGCGTCGGCATGGCGTGAATTTTGGCATGGGGATAGTTCGATGGCTGTAGAGTGACATAGGCTACTTTCTAACGGAAAAACATATTATTCCCGTGGGAAAATCGAATATGTTGCAAAATTAAATTCAGCTAGGTGGCGCCACCGTGATTCTACAAGACGGAAGACGGTACGATGGACGACCACAGAAGGTCAGAATATCTGGATTATTATGTCCTACCAAAATTAAGATAAAAAATGTATGGATCTGTATTTTTTCACGCGGGACCGGGAAGAGAGCGATAAAAAATATAATATTCACCAGCTGATTTTCTTCAAACGTTTTGGTGCATTGTTATTCACAGAATAGGCGATAACCTCGCAGACGATATTATGTAATCCGTTGATGCTCTGCCTACCCCGCAAGGGTTACAGGCGTGATTATAAGTATGGATCAGAAATACTATCACCACCTGTCACGCTTTCACCCTTAACTATTACTTAACTGTGGTAGAAACAGTTCTTAGTAAGCCTTAGTAATATTTATTGAACGGAAATGAATACAGTTCTTATATGTGGTTATGAATGAATCGGTATTACAATAAGAAAAATTGTGCAAAATTATAAGAAAAATATTTTTTGAGAGTTCTTATTAACTAACGTATCATCATCATCATAATTACAGCCCTTCACAAGTCCACTGCTGAACATAGGCCTCCCCCAAGTAATGCCACAAAGCACGGTCCTGAGCCACCTGCATCCATCGACTTCCTGCATATCTTACCAGGTCGTCACTCCATCTAGTGGGGGTCGCCCTACACTACGCCTACCGGTACGAGGCTGTTCACTCGAGAACCTTTCTTTCCCATCGGTTATCGGTTCTTCGAGCTATATGGCCGGCCCATTGCCACTTCAGCTTACTAATCCGTTGGGCTATGTCGGTCACTCTGGTTTTACTGCGGATATCCTCATTGCTGAGTATCACGCAGAGA